GCTGCCTCAGAGGCTGGAAGGCCGCTGTGCTTCCTTAGGAAGTGGGTTAAAAATAGGAGCCGGATCTGCAAATGCGTCCGTCCCCCCACCACGGCTTTGTTCTGTGGCCGTTCCCACACACGCCCTGTCCCTCAGCCCTCCCCTCGCCCTGGGACAGGGCTCAGCCAGCGGGACAGGCCCCAGGTAGGGCTTGTTCCCCTCATGCAGGGGAGGTGAGGGGCAGCAGCGCTGTACCTGCCCACCACATTGTCTTCTTCCACCCCCCATCTGTGTGGGGACATGTTGATGTTCACTCAACCCGTGGAAATTTCTAGAGACCCAGGTTGCCTCTGTTGGCTGATCATGGTGAGAGGTGAGTCTGGAACATGAGCAGTGAAGAACCCTGCATGCACCCCTGAGAAAAGCCCTCGTACTCCAGCCTTGCTGATGTAAACCCACCCAGGAGGGCCAGGCTCAGCCGCCACAGATTTACCAGGAGAACGAGGCCCTTTCAGAGACTGGTTTATTCTGGTCTTTGTTCCTGCCTGGTTTGAAATATTGCTGGCCCTGGTGTTACCTCCAGCTGTTGCCACAGTTTGCCAGGGGCCAGATCCTGCATGCAGCAGAGGCCCCAGGACCCCCCTCACTGTTTCCCCTGGGGCAGGTGGCCCAGCCCCTGCTCAGCAGAGCACAGGGGGTCGCTCGGAGACAGTGGGGCTCGTTGCAAGCTCTAAATCCAGGCCCTGAGGAACCAGATCTGTCTCTCCTTTCTGGCTCTACACCCATGTCCAGCCTTGTCTCTACTTGTTGCTTATCGTCATTCTGTGTGCCCCAGGCCTGTGATTAGCCACGTGCATGTGCTTGGCTCCAGCCTGGCCCATAACTCGGTGCTACCAGCTCCACTCCCCTCTGCAGGACGTGTCCCAGCCTGTCAGCCGCACCGCAGCTCTCCCACCCCAGGAGACACGCTGGGGTTGAGGAGAGCTGGGATGAGGAGCTGGAGAATGGGGTCGGGGCCTGCAGCTCGTCTCCAGGGGCACACTGTGGGACAAGGCAGTGCTGCCAGGAGACTTCGGTCCCATCAAAGGCACCGCAGTGAACTGTGGGGTTCCGCTGCTGCAGCACGAACATGCACACAGGGAGGAGCGATGATATCATCACCTGGCTTTGTGTGAGCTATTTAGGAGGGTTAATTATTATTATTATTTCTTTCCCGTTCCTTTGCCTCTGAACAATGCCCTGGCCTGGCAGGGCCGAGGTTCACACCATTGTGTGGGGCTGCCCTGCCTCAGGAAGGGGGAGATCTTTATCACCCAGCCTGACCGGGTGAGGAGAGTGAGCTCACAGGGGTGAGGAGAGCAAGCGAGCACCTTGCCGGCAGCCTGGGCCTGCTCCCCACACACCTACCACCCCAATCCCTGTGCCCCAGGGCCACCAAGCATCAGAAACGCACCCAGGCTGAGGTGCAGCCCCCCCAGATCATGCTGGGGCCACCTTCTTCTGCATGTCCCTGCTACTGCCTTGGCACGGTGAGAGTGGTGGCATCTCCTGTGTTTACCCAGGAACGGGCCTAACCTGCATGCAGCCGTTTACTTTCCTCTCCAAACCTGCCCAGCCTTAAAACAGTCTGTGGCTGGGTGGGTATGGAGGGGAAGGGGGGAGCAGCGCCCCAACACTGGCTGGCCCTGCTGAGTGCATCCAGTGCCGCAGGGAGCCCTGTCCTGCAGGGCATGGCCTGGGCAGCGTGGCACGACTCCAGCTCTCGGGCACAGCAGATGACAGGACTCATCCTAGGCATGGAGGCTTTTGAGGGGGATTGTTTTCCCCCCAGTGAGAGCAGGCATCATCTTTCCCAAGCCCCGTGCTGGCGTGGAAAGAGCCTGTAGCCGTCAGCCCTTTATTTGTGGAGAAAGCCATCCAGCAAGCTCCTGGGTGATGGCACAGCAGGGGCCCACCCCGAGCCCCAGCCTGCCCCAGCGACCCTGGCCCCACACCCACCGCAGCACTCAGGGGAAGCGAGGGGGGCCTAATGCATCCCACCATGCTGCCCATTTTGGAGCTGGCGCTGCAGCCACTGAAGGTGACAGGGACATGCCCAGGAGCTGGCCCTGGCATCGTGTCTGCCGTGGTCGAGGGGATCAAGTTGGTGCTGCTGCAAGCCATCAGCCAGTGCAGGAAGCCCCTGAGGCCAGCAGCAGCACGGGGAGCTGGTCCTCGCCCTCAACCACCCCACATCCATCACCCTGCCCTCTCTAAGTGGCCACCGCTTGGCGGGGCACACGGTTCTTCTCGCTGTGGGCTTTGGCTGTCCGTCCCTTCTTGCCCACATCCATGCCAGCCAGGGCATGCTTGCCCTGGGCCAGCTTGCTCTTGCGGCGCTGGGGGTGGCTGCCACTGCACCA